TCGATGACTGATTTTGCATCCTCAATTGCTTTATTAACAGAGCAGGTTCTGTATCTGTAGTCATTGACTCCAAGCTGGAGAATGTAACAGTCGACCTCTGGCTGTTTAATGACATCTCTCATACAGTGGTCTTTTATCATGTCAGTATAAGAGCCTACTTTCATTTTTTCCACCTTGAACCCAGAGGAAAATGACTCAGGTAGAAAGTTGTTCATCTGGGAGTCATGTAGGAGTAGGACCTTTTTTGGTTTTCGCGTTTGTCTACTAGGGCTGTGGGTTGGGTGGTTCTGGTTTTGAGGATGAGGCGATGGCTTTTTTCTTGATGGGTTGGTGCGGTCATTAAGCTGGAGAGACTGTAGGCAGGCCTTAGAGTCATCTACTTTGTTCTTAATTGCAGTGACATCTGCTTCGAAGGCTTTAAGGGAGGTGGCAGTTTCATGTTGTTTTTCGTTTATGCTGCTCATTATATCCTCTAACTTTTCAAGTCTCTTGTCCATAGTGATGAGTTCATTAGACAGGTTAGGGGGGCTGGCACTAACTTTTTGATTGGAATTACTGTCAGAACATAAGACAAGTGTTTGGAGGGTGCTATGTTGTAGACTTATTTTGGATTGTAGATCAATAACAGAGTTTTCCAAAGTTTGGAGGGAATGGGTAACGCATTCGGGCTCAGCTGAGACTACTGGAGGCTCAGCAAGAAGCCTGCTCCGGCGTTTGTGACATGCTTTCGCAACTTTCTTCAGTCTTTTCTTACAATCCAGAGGGGTTCCAGAGTTTGTGCTGCCATGGCGAGAAAGTTCGCTTTTCACGGTTTTGTCTTTCATTAGATCAATGGCTTCAAGCATGGCATCTATGCTGAGAGGCAATGTATCACTATCAGAGACTGATGCTTTGCTGCTGGTTATGGAAGGAGAACTACTGGCCACTGGAGACCCAACTGAGCTGGTGTCAACTTGTGAGAAGCTAGACAGAGACAAGGAGGATCTACGTCTGTTGTGCAGAGGTAGCGATGGTGAGCCTGAGACTCCAGGGGTCTTGGGGGCAAGTATAGGAGTGATAGAAATATCTTTCAGGGGTGTAGATAAGGCACTTCGGTTTCTTAGGAAAGTGGAGCTGCAGGTCCTGTAGGTCACAGAGGTACGTGAATTAGTGATCACATTATCTTTGGGTATTTGATGCGTATACTTCTTTTGGAAATCAGTACCATGCATTACAAGAACTGAACCCTTGTCGAGTTTGACTGTGATGGCATTTCCAGGGTTCTTAGCCTCTCTGATGAGCATGCAGCGCTGTTGGCCAAGTGACAGAGTAACGACAGGTTTTGAGAGGTCGACCTCTGGCTCGTTGTCACTGTGCTCACCACAGGAATCACGTCCAGTTCTATACTGGTTGATCAAAAAGCAGTCAGAGGAGCAATCAATGTTGTTGGGTGTGAAGAGGTTTTCGGCCATGTTCTGATATGCTGCAATAAGGCGAGGACATTGGGAGACAGAATTAGCTTTCATTACGATTCCTGAGAACGCATAGTCTACGGGTCCAAACCATGACGAGAGTCTTGGAAGTGCAAGTGGCGCCTGAGACTGCCTGTGGATTGTGTTGTACTGTTTAAGGATGCCAGTATTTTCGATTTCAGAGGAAAATTGGTCACACAGTTGGCTTGCAAACACATCCTGAAAGAGACTGATTCTACAACCAGAGTCAGGATTGCTAAGCACATAGCATCTGGGCGTCGTGATGGTGATAGGTTTCGTAAAGTCAATAACATTTCCATCCAGGGGAAAGGAGTTGTTTCTCGATCTCGTTGATCGAGAATTATCTTCAGTAAGAGTTCTGTCTTGCATGAAGAATAGATGGTAGGGAGCACATAATGAGATGGGGGCCAGGGCACCATCAAACCAACCAACAGCCTGAAAATAAGATAATGAGAGTAACACAGTTTTGACAGGGGTGAGTGATATCAGGTAGAGAGGTAAAGTTAAACAAAATCATTTTCAAAATAAGATAAAAAAGGAACACAAGGTCTAATTACATGAAAGTTTGTGATGTGATTTGGAGAGATGTTGGTGCTTGGTGGAATAGGGGAGGGAGGGGAAGGGAGCGGGGTGGACTGCTATGGCCCAATGTAGAGATATAGAGGTTATTTAGTAAGTCAATAGCAGGTTGGGTGTGGGATTTGAGTACAATTTATAGAGCAAGGGGAGGCGGGGGTAAGGAAAAGTTTGTATATAAAAGATACAGTATTATATATATATTATTAAGGCCTTGGTGGCCCAGTGGCGTGGAGCAGAGCCAGTAATCGCAAGGTTGCTGGATCGATACCCGCCATCGGCAAAACCAACCTTGATGATTTGAGCCATACTGATGAGTCCTAATAGGACGAAACACTGTGTCTATGGGTATTATATATATATATAGAATATATTGATATATAGGATAGAATATATATACATGTACACAGTATAATACCACAACACTACTATATAAAATACCTCTATTCAAGGATGTCCATGCAGTCCAGAGTACCCGCAACAGGTAAAAGGAGGGAGGGGTAGGGCTAGGCTAGGGTAGGGTAGGGTAGTGAAGGAGAGAGTGTTTGTGTCATTGTGATGGAGATGCAGTGCAGATGTGACATGAATCTAAAGAACTCATCTTATTTTCAAGGCTGATAGCCAGTCTTCTGATGCCACTGGCCCCCAGAGCTCACATGCACCCCGTTACCAAGTCGTTTACAGCTGCATATCTTGTTGCGGGTACTCTAGACTTCCATGGTACATCCTCAAATTATTTGTTATATAGTAGTGTTGAAAGTATTAAAAAAACACAATTTTTATTTACCACAAAACAATCAATACATGTTATTTTATTTTAATACTTTCAACACTACTATTATATAACAAATAATTTGAGCATCAATAAGAAGTTGTTACTTTGAAACGTCGTTTATCCTAACAGTGCAGTATCATTTGTCGCAAGAAATCAGAATAATCAGAAACTATTTGGAACTCCAAAAAACTGTCTATTAATACATATTATCAATTATGTTATAATTATAGATAAATTCAAATTTCAAATTCAACCATATACATTGACCATTGTTAATGATCTGGCCCGGCGCGCGCTACTTCGAAGAAATATAGACGAGTAACATCCGTCAACCATATACACAGCCGGCCCGCCGCGCACACAGCCACACATTGTCAAAAAATCCCTATGTGCGGCTTCAGGTTTGTCAGCCCCAAGCTCAAGCGCGTTTTGGTCCTTTATTTCTGCCACTCAGCATTGCCTAAATAAAATAGAAATTTTCTGAGACAATAGCGAATAGAGAAACTGACCTTGTTTCACTAAATTCAACCACTTTCCTTGTTATGCGTTGTATGACCCGCCGGGCACGAAGTGCGCGGCTTCCACTGTATCGTCAGGACGTGGGGGTTATAACGTGATACAACACTTTCCATAATAAAAATACTAACAAATAAAGTTTTTTAATAAATATATATTCCACTAAAGAATATTTCCTCAAGTTTACTTTTAGTTAACTAATTCGTTGACCATTGTTAATGATCTGGCCCGGCGCGCGCTATACTTCGTAGCTCTTGCCATCGGGCAACATTTGCCATCGGGCAACATTTCGAAAAGAAAGCGGCGCGCGCTACTTCGAAGAAATTTAGACGAGTAACATCTGTCAAGATAAAAATAAACTTGCTCGGATTTCGAAAATTTTTGTATCATTGTTTTCTTGACGGATGCAGTAAGATGTTACTCGTCTAAATTTCTTCGAAGTAGCGCGCGCCTCTCTCTTCTCGAAATGGCCCGATGGCAAGTGCTGCGAAGTAGCGCGCGCCGGGCCAGATCATTAACAATGGTCAATTGCAATTGTTTTCTAGAGACTGTGAGAATTTTCACAGTACCAAATTTGTTATACCTTTTTGGAATGATCAGTTTTGCCAAGGTGCCATATTTGATGGTGCGCGGCTTTTGGAGCAAAATTAGGTGTAAAAGTCGCGTAATTTGACGAAATTCGTTGATTTTTGTCGTATTATTCCATCATATCTTCGGTTTCTAAACATGAATCATGCTTGATGCTGAAAATTTGTCAGAACCTTCCAATCATACTTAACTACCGAACGTATAATTTAGTTTTGATTGACGATGTCAACCCATTACATTGAGATCGTTGCTCTGCGAAGCAAGAATGCTAGTTATAGTTTGCGCGGCGCGTGAAGCGGCGAAGTCCTCCAAAATTTAGTTGGGAGAGATTGGCCTTGATTTGTGATTCATGATTAAGAGGTCCAAAAATTACAAAATAGGTATGAATCCGTTGATTACTCAAATTCTGACCATCGAAATTGCTCAATTACTAATTCATAATTTGTAATTTAGGTTCAGTAGAACATAAGTGTTTACGTACGCTGACCAAATTTCAACAAAATTGTTATATGGGAAGTATTATAGCTTTTTGATGTTTCCGAAATAATGTGCTGGCCGAAATAAAAGCTAAAAAACCATTTTACCATTGTTAATGCGCATTCAATAGTATAGTGCTTCCTTGCTAGATCGGCGAAATGCACCATTGGGCCTCGCCGAGCTGTGAAGGATTCACATCGTGAATCAAAAGCTAGAAGATTATATTAACGGGTGGGTGATACTCGTAAAATAAATAAAAATTAAAAAAAAAAAAAAGAGTATAATGATATGTGCCTGTCTACTATCTCAACATTCACAGATAAAGTGATTAAGTTTATTGTATTAAGTATTTGTTGCCAAATTTGAAATTACGCGGTGAGTGAGGGTTTCATGTACTAGACTGAGACTAGACGGGGTGCAGGAATGAGGTTGCTACACTGTACACGTTGTATAGTTATACCTCTAATCTTAGAAAAGAAAGTTTATATTTCGGCCTTCGGCCGCCGCGCGCGAAAGGAGGTATACAACGTGTGTCATTACTTTAGTATAAGCAATAAGGTTAAATGATGAATGAATTACAAGGAAAATAACCGGAATTGAAAATGAAAACCTTCATAATTTCGTCTGAAAGTTCAACAGTATAAAATTAAATAGCTGTTTCAAATAAATCATCATGTGATGTAGATACATTAGACCAATGCAACCATTTAAGTAACCATAGTGACTATTTGTAACCATCAGAAAAACAGGTTAAATTGAGCGGTGTTTTTGTGAAACTTGCAAGTGTAAAGTATGTTAGGTATGCAATAAGTATGTTAGGTATGCAATTAGTGTGTTAGGTATGCAATAAAAGACTATTAGCGTCTGCTAATAGTAATAGATGATAGCACTGAGAACTCTATATCTCTCTCCGTTAATTTTTAAGGACCCTCAAACCCTACTGGATATTTTAACATAAAAAACTGTTACCATAGTAACCATGTTACCCGAGTAGTCCTAGCAACCATGTACCACCATGTGAACAAAGCTGCCTAGTTAACATTAAAAACTGAGTTGGGCAGATCTAATAGGTCTATAAAAATGGTAATAATTATAAAAGAGAAGTTACGTAACTATACTAGTTGTAATTACAACTAGTTTCATGATTTCTTGTAAAACTGGTGTACCTTTTTATGTGTATAATGGGGGTAGCAACTAAATTCTTGACATATTTGGCTTTTGCCTCTTAATTTGCGTTCACAATCGTGTGTTCAGAAGGTAGCTAAGCAACTCCATAACCAGGGTTGTGACAATTGAACACTATATACAATATACTTTATATACTCATATACTGGTCGATATAACTATAATTCTTGTTATTGTCATAATATTATTATGATGTAAATTCTTGACAATTTTTGACAAAAAAGTTTCGTCAATCCAGGGACTATATTATCAAACATTGTGCTGCTACCTCCCATAAGAACACAAGTTCCTCCATTCCAGGGTATGAAAATCTGGTGAACACAATACTTCTCATCAAATAAACAGTGCACTTGTAGCACTTGTATAATAGCACTTGTATAGTTACAATAAAACTGTCCGTTCAGATTCTCAACAAAAACAAGAAGTTCAGCGGCAAACAAGTAATATTAGTAACATGGGAAGTGTATAGACTACTATAACCAGCAGCAATATAGTACATTCTTTACTATAACTAGTACTTAGTAGTAGTAGTTATAGTAGTTATAGTAGTTGTAGTAGTGTTGTAAAGGAGAGAGGGAGAAGGACCAATGACCGGCCGCACACAATGACACGTGACAATAAACTTCAGTCAGTCATGATAAATCCACCAAAAGGAGACAATAACACCACACTGTAACCATGGTGACAGTGTGTAGTGACGGGGTCGTGTTTAGTCGTGGTCGTCCAGGTATTTCTGAGGTAGGCGGCAGGTTGGGTTAGCGTAGCCGTTCTTCTGAAGGAATGCAACGTACTGTTCGTTTGTGAGTATGTCCGCTGAGGGAAGTGTTGTGAACCTTCCTGACACGTCTTTATGAAGCGTCCTTCGTACCTGGAGTATAAACATTATGAAAAGTGTTACCAAGGTAACCTGAAATATAAACATAATATTAACATAATTTATAAACATGATTAGAATTATTTTAAAGACTACTGCAAGGTTACTTAAAGACGAAAATGTGAACAATTCTGTGAATTGCGTTACGTGGACTGGCCCACAAGTTCATGTCAAATCGCTTTCGAAAGCTTGAACTGAATCTTTTTGGCTATAAACCGCTATAGAAATTACAATTATATTATATTATATCGTATGTAATATCCTATTACATACGATGGTTATCTGAAATATAAACAGTCACAACAAACACAAGCAGTAAGGCCTAAGGGGTCGTTCACATATTACGTAATCATCCGACGGGGGAGTGGGTTTCCAAATGCTTACGGTTGATTACGGGGAGGGGGGGGGGGGGGGGGGGGGGGTTGTCGTTGATTAAGTAATCAACATTTTTAAAAACCCTCTAGAATAATAACAATTTGACGATATTTTAATTCAAATTCCACTCAATTTCACTCTGATAGTGATAAAATTTAGAAATTGATCGGATATCCGACTAAAGTAAGTAGTTTCAAAGGTGCTTGGCCGGATATCATAATAATGATTTCGGCTCATCATGATCAGGGTAGCATGAAACGTAAAGAAAAATGATTTCCAGGGGAAAAATCAAGGCACAGGGAGACTAAAGTGCAAAGAAACTGCTGCTAACTGCTGCTGTTGCGCGAGCGTCATTTGCAGCAGTTAGCAGCAGTCAGCAGCAGTTTCTTTGTACTTTAGTCTCCCTGTGAAGGGGGGGGGGGGGGGGGGGGTGGTGGGTCAGGCCATGATTACGTAATATTGCTGTCAAGAGGGGGGGGGGGGGGGGGGGGTTGAGTCTTGGGTTCTTGATTACGGTTGATTACGGAGGGGGAGGGGGTAAAAATTGCAAAAATATTGATTACGTAATATGTGAACGACCCATAAATACAAAAAAGGTTCACATTTACACAACAATTCTGAAGTTATAACTTACAACTACAATGAAGAAGACCAGGGCCACTATGATGGTTATAACGGAAACAGTGGACACTATAGCTATCAGGTATTTCTGGTTCTTCAGCTTGGAACTGTCTTCATCTTTCTTCTCCTCCTGGAAATTTAATAGTTTACTATGCTGTTATTTTTAACCTGTACAGACGTCTCCAATACTCTAACAGATCAACATAACTATTAATTAACACAGTAATTGGCATGTTCCTACAAAAACTGTACCTGTCCTAGATCTCCAGGATCCCCACCACCAATGGTAACAACAGGGGGTAACGTATTAAAGATTATCTGTTTAGTAGTTTCGCAATGTACACAGTTACTCTCCTCCCAGTTCTCAACCTCTCGACTGATAGTCTCTATCTTGAGACGTAACACCTGGAGGTCGGTCACCACCTTACGGTAGTCCTTGCTGAAATCGTTGGACTCTCCTTCTACTAGGTCGGAACATATCTCCGCAAACTTTCCGCTCACCTGAGTGGTAATTGTATCAAGGGGATGGAGATGGGCAGAGGGGGAGGGAGGTGGGCGGGTATGAAAAATGGACAGAAGAGGAAATGGAGAGGTAGAGAGGGAGAAAATATCTTACCTCGGAGAGTGAAGTATTGACAGCTCGAATATCGGTTGTGAAAGCCTCCCTTGCTCTAGTGGCAGCAATACGATCCAGGAGCGAGTGAGTTGAGACGATTAGTTCGTCCACTTTGCCAGCTAGACACTTAAAATGTTCTCTGTACAGAACTACCTCCTCCTTGTGCAGATCTCTCTCCACTTGTTCTATCTGTGCTACCAACTTGTCGTAGTTGATCTCATCTGCAAAATAATCAGCTTTTAGCTTCTAGATTAAAGTAGTTCAGAGCTAGTCTGTAAAGTAGCCATTAGCTCTTAATTTTCTACAACTTTTTCTTTTTCCATTGTACAATGACAATCTAAAACATTGTTAAATTTTGTGATCCGCTAAACAGGCTACAACATCTAATTCTAAGCGTAAAATAGATTTAAATCCCAGTAAATCAGATTGGCAGATGTTGAAAGTGAGAGACAAAAGACTTTACTTTGTTCTCTTCCAGACCAGATGTCAAATACAGGTGAAAATTAGGTCAACCTCTAAACGCAATCCAATAAGCACCTTAAAAATAGCACTATTTAAGCAGGCGCCGCGCTGTCAAACCATCACCCCATTTCACACGTTAAGATGAAGATTGTATGTGCTTTTCTCCTGTTCGCCCTGGTCTTTGCTCAGGATCCCACTGATCCAGCACCGGAACCAACTGACCCCAAGCCAGTTCCAACAGACCCAAAGCCAACTGATCCTAAACCAACTGGTAAGCTAATCAAATCCTTTTCTCAGTATAATATTCTAATTTCCAACAGTCACTCTGGAATGGGACCAGGGTCCACTATTTCATACTGATTACGTCAGATATTAATGGCCCACTATCCCAAGACTAATCACAACGTGGCGCATCGCCAGAACCCCTGGAATTTCATTGTATCTCAATACACATAACCAGACGTATTCTATGAGAGGAGACTGGTGTTCAAATCTCCTAACTAGTTCTATTTCAGACCCCAAGCCTACTGTAAAGCCTACTCCAGCTCCTACTCCAGCCCCTACTCCAGCCCCTACCCCAGCTCCCACTCCAGCCCCTACCCCAGCTCCCACTCCAGCCCCTACCCCAGCTCCCACTCCAGCCCCTACCCCAGCTCCCACTCCAGCCCCTACTCCAGCTCCTACTCCTGAGCCAGTAGTATGCCCCGCTGGTCAGTTCAACAACAACGACTTGTGTGAGATGTGCGCTGAGGGTGCATACTCTGCTGGTGGCAGTGATTCTTGCGACGTCTGCCCCGAGGGCCAGTCTTCTGAGTCTGGAGCCAAGAGTGCGGATGAGTGCTTCGGTAAGTAACTTCTCATTATGCATATCAGTCACTTAACTTCAACAACTATTAGCAACATCATTTGGTGTCTCCAACAACTATTATAGTAATAAGTTTAAGTGTCAAATGAGTTGCTGTTGTGTAATATGTAAAAGTACCCCTAATAATCACGTGACCCTTAATAATCACGTGACCTCAGTTCCACGATCTTGCGCCTGGGGAGATTCTCACATGTGCGACAGAGAAACTGGTTGCACTTTCGGATGTGAGAGTGATTACTGCTGGAGCCAGTGCGACGGTAAGTTAATTAGCTAATTAGTTTTTTAGTCACGCAATTAATTAACTCAACAGTCCTGTGGTTTGTCTAATAAAACCCCTTAAAATAATCTAAACGATACCTACCCCAGCTCTGTGCCCACGAACCAGCAATGTTGGTTGTCACGGTTGCAAAGAATGGTGTTGGTTGAGCGGTAACGACTCCAAGTGGGAGTTCTGTACTGAGAACAGTCAGTGTGTTTCAGTTAAGAGGAACTCATGTGCTGGAGGTTGCACCGTCTAAATCCTCACTTCTCTATTTATTTCTATATTCTGTGTATTTTCTGAATAATTCATTGAATACCAGTAAATGGTTTTAAGTTAAATGCATTGTTTTATTTAATCAACTGGGAGGTGAATATCATGGATGTGATATTCTGTATTTGAGATTTAGTTCATACAAAGATAAAAGATAATTCAACAATTACAATGAGACTTGAGCCCGAAATAAAAGAAAGAGACAATTTCAGTCGATAATTCGGTTGAGTATGAACTTATTAGAGTTTTGCAAGTTAAAATAACCATTAAGAATTAAACTATAGTCGCGTTTTTACGAACGTTTTCATTCATTTCTTTTTATAAGGCAAGATTATATCCTTAACCATAACTGACATTCTTAAACCAAAAGTTTAGTCAAAGTTTTAACACTTTTAAGTACAATTTGAGTTGAACATTTTTTTCTGAATAAATACATTTCCAAAAGGTCATTCAACTAATAGCGCCTCAGGTTTAATTGAGTAATTGAATTTTTCCATTACAGAATATTTCAACGAGTTAGGATTTTGAAGTAGAGCTTTTATATTGGTAAAATTGATTAAGAAAATCGTAGGTAGGCCACTTAAACAGAAGCCAAAAATTTCTATTGCTCTTTATAAATGAAAATAGGTTTGACTGCAAATAAAGCACCCTTCCCTCTCTTATTCAGTTTAGCTTCACATAATCCTATATTAGGTTTATTGGTTACCTCACTTGGGAATATGACCTTCCGCAATGACATAATATTGAGTGCTTTAAGTTGATTTCAGTCATGATCTAGGTGTTAAACGCCCCATATTCTTGGGAAGTACGTCTACAATGTGCCGAATATTACTTTACTAGTTTTCCCAGTTTTTCATAAGGAAAGCAATTCCCGTAATGACTTCTAACGAATGCTTTAAAATCACCACAGTGACAGAGTGCTGGCTCGGAACGTTGCTACATTTCTAGTTCACACCAAGATGTTTCAGCTCTAGTACTGGATACAATTTAAAATAACGGCAATTTAAATTTTTGGTTGCTATATTTATCAAAAAATAAATTTGTTGGATTTCAAGTAGTTCAGACATAATGTCTCTGTGGACTGGACTAGTTTAATTAAACGAACCAATTTGGATCAAGGAGTGGCTCTTCTTTCTCCAAGTTCATGTATGTAAAGATTCATTAAATTAGTCTCACGTCTATTATCGCTGGGTTGCCACTGTTTTCCTGAGATTCTTCTATTGATGACAAATTAGCCAGTGTTTTGCTGCCTCACCCTACATGAACTAATTACACTAAACCACGATTTTGCGCGCACAAAATGTTAACAATTTGCGCTTTTAACACAAATCGCGCCAAATATTCACCCAAACATTGAGCCAAGGTCTACATGTCAGCAAGAAGCCTTACTATAGGTCCACTAACAGGACGAACTAGATAACACCCATCAATTAACAATGTTCCGGTACCTATAGTGGATGTAGGATGTAGGATGTAGGATATAGTTGTAGGAGGAAATTAAGAAAGTTGAGTGACCGGTGCTGGTAGGCTGTTGAACAGCTAGGTGCCGGATTTAGCAGTTTCAAGTTTCACTAGACTTCTAATTAGAGCGAGGTGGTGACCTCACACTAAACTAAGCGTGTGTCCACCAGTCACACCTTGCCATCCCAGACACGTGACACAAACTGACCAATCAGATCACAGCATTCAGACCGTGGATCACAAGATTCGCACATATCGGAGGAAGCTGTGATACATGTTAATATGTAAGAAATATGGAGAAGTTTAGAAAATGTTAAAATAGAAAGAGAAAATACTGTACTGTAAAAAGCTTGCACACTGTATACTGTATAGAGTGTCTACACTGTTATACATATAGAGTCCTATAACCATCATCAGACACGTCGATTACAGTCAAGTTGGTTCTGTGTGTTGTGATTTAAATTCGACGCTGTAATTTCACATGTTAACCTGTAACTATGGACACCTCTCCCCGGCGGTGGAATGAAATATTTATAATACACCGACGGTGAGTTTTATCAGGGTTTCTAACTGATCAAACTGGTTCTTCGAGCAGGATACCACACAGGTGCCGCTGTAGTAGTAATTAAGAGGGAGAGGGGAGACGGCCAGGTAAGGGCCAGGTATGGGGAGGGGGGTGGGGGGGGGGGGCTGAGGGGGCTGTTCATTGTCCATATTAGTTAAACATATTTTGTTCTATCTCAAATATTGGGTACCGCTTGGAAAAGAATGGACAAATTTGATGGAAAAGGGGCAAAAATTGTGTTGTCTCATTTGAAGTTTTTTATCAGGTTTTTTGCCATCATGGAAAATATATGCTAAGTTATGCAAATATTTTCCTCACTTCTTGTCCATATTTGTTTAAATTATTTTGTCCAACATGATAAGGTACAGTTTGGTAAATAACGGATACAGATAGGAGGCTCTCACACACCCACATTGAGCATCAGATATTTATTTCTTCTCTCATTCTCTCAACCAGTCACGTGATTAAATAAAGTCACGTGACTAAACTCACTATAATGTAAGTCACATGGGTAATGCTGTGAAAGGTATACAGACATTGATTTGATGCGGGGAACAATCTGACAATCATAATTTGTCAGGTGTCAACTGTGACGGATATTTGTCTGAGATCAGAATAATGACAAGCAACTCTAGAGATCTTGTGTATTTATGAAGGAGCAATAAGATCATGTATTTACAGAGGAGCGTTTACATTTTGAACATTTTTTAAACATTGAGAATATGATTTACACACAAATGCATAACCAAAAACTGATTCATTTTATAGCGTTTATTAATACGGGACAACATAGGGAACATAACGGCAAAATCTTGAAGGTCAAATGTTTGATACTTTGATTGGTAAGTATAACATTTTTTCGGGGTGAGACAAAATGACTCGAGATTTAAACTTGCAGTCCCACTTGTATTTCTGAAGAGGAGCAACAATATTTTAAATCTTATAGCAATTACTAAATCTAAGATTTAGTATGGATGGAGAAGTAATTTTTGATTGGGGGCGGGGGGGGGGGGGGGGGGTGTTAAGTTGTACACACTTTATACTTGTCTTGACAGGTAATAAGGGAGTACCCAGAGTGTGAGCTTCATAATGTCATCACTTAACAGATAATCTATTAGAAGGGGACTACAGTGTGTGTCTACCATTAGTGTCCACAATTCCACACACTTGGATAGATAAGTAGCGACAAATCAGTTTCCAATGATATGAACTGTCACATTTGAGCGCTAATGCATTTTATAATAGCACATCTACTCACATTTGCCTCACTACACTTTGTATACATGACATATCTTAACTAATCGCCTTTGCCTCACTGATAACAGTGGAGTAACAGTAGTGTAACAGTGGAGTAACAGCTTAACAGTAGTGTAACAGTCGTTTCGCAGTGACGTAACAGTGACGTTACAGTGACGTTGCAGTGCTGATTCGCCACTGGAGCCTCTACACAAGATCTGTGGGATCCAGTATTTTGTGAGGGTCTGGGTTAAAGCAGGAAATATGCCACTAGATTGTATTTCAGCTAACACGATCAAATTACTGGTGAACCAAAATAACATCACCCATTAGTCAACACGTCATATTGGTTGAGTGACTGAAGCGATCAGGGCCCTGGCAACCGCCCCCACAGTTCCAGCGAGTAAGATAAAAATGAAGTGATAGGTTTATGTAAAAATTTACTTAATATCTGTCTGTCTGTGTGTGGATATTAAATGTAATACGAATTTAGTGCTAGCTCCTTAGCAAAAAACTATAGATCATCGAACCCTCGAATGTATGCTAGAAGATCACATTGTGGCTAAGTGTCCATGTCCTATGCAATACTGACATCAAAGTTAAACAAATTAATTCACAAAATCTTTAGTCAGAGCTAGCTCTCAATCTGTGATAGAGATTTTAAACGTGACTCGTTGTATTGGCAAAATCTTGAGCCTAATCCCTAACCAAGATCTAACCAAGATCGGCCGTTTCAATAACTACTGTTTACAAGAAGAATACATTTCTTACTGGCTCACACATAATTTTATTAACATTACAAGAGTAATCCCACAGTGGTGTATCATTGTAAGATAAGTCTTTTTTACTGATCAGAGGTGTTCATCACATGGCGTCTTATCACGCTGTTATTTCTAGAGAAACTCTTTTAAAGTGGGTTTACTACTTTTAAAACTGGTAAATTGTTTGAAAACCCCATATTTTAAAACCCCTGTCAAAATCCAACACATATATCATAATTATGCGTGTTCAACATACTAATGTCCACTAATCAATAACAGATGGGTAACTAGTATTTTGCTTTTATGAGAGTGTTCTTGATTAAATTACCAGGACAGAGCACAATGAGATTACACTGGCCGTTCTGCGAGCATATTGTCAGACAGTACATTTTCACATGATATTTTAATGTGAGACGTCAAGGTTAGCATAATGCGATGCTTGCTATATTATATTACATAGTAGCAACATTACACAGCTACATTGTATTTCACAGCTACATAACACAGCTATATCACACAGCTACATCACACAGCTACATTATACAGCTACATTATACAGCTAGATTGCACAGCTATATCACACAGCTACATTACACAGCTACATTACACAGCTACATCACACATCTACATCACACATATACATTATAAAGTTATTAAGTTAAATTAGCTTATAAATAAGCTAATTTAACAAACCACGCCATTATTATCTCACATGTAAGTTTGAGAGTAAAACTGAAACCCTGCTGTGATAATATGGGAGGTTGTAAGAATGGAAGTGGAATGTGGATACAAGGCGGATGTGGTATGGGCATTTCACAACAAGTTATATTGTGTGGTTTGGGGTTTCAAGTTGAAACTAAATATTTGAGAATCTTCTTAGTTTAACTTGTCTCCCAGGAAGGACAAATCTAAACAAATATTTAAAAGCTGTGGGACCTTTCTAGGATTAACCGGATAAATGACGAAAAACATTTTTACAGACAAATTTCATCGACAAATTTCCGCAATGCTAAAGATTAATCTTATTGCAGCGGACCATAATAGAGTTAATATTCTGCACTGTGTACAGTTAGTCATTCGCATTGTTAAAAGATAATCTCAAACTTACCATTAGTATTAACATAATAAGTATTACCATAATTAGTATTACCATAATTAGACAGTTATCTCCACAACCAAAATCAGACATTAGTTACACAGTAATTACCTCAGTAATACTAATACAGTGGTGACCATAGCAACACAGTAGTTACCATAGCAACATAGCGGTTACCATAGCAACACAGTAGTTACTATAGCAATATAGCGGTTACCATAGCAACACAGTAGTTACTATAGCAACACAGTAGTTACTATAGCAACATAGCGGTTACCATAGCAACACAGTAGTTACTATAGCAATATAGCGGTTACCATAGCAACACCGTAGTTACTATAGCAACACAGTAGTTACTATAGCAACATAGCGGTTACCATAGCAACACCGTAGTTACTATAGCAACACCGTAGTTACTATAGCAACACAGTAGGTACTATAGCAACATATCGGTTACCATAGCAACACGGTAGTTACCATAGCAACACCCTGGTCATTATAGCAACACAATGGTTACCATAGTAACGCACAGTTTAGTTAATAACGACTATAATGTAGGAAGAATCTAATGAACAAAGTAGTACACACGTGACTAATGTAGTACACACGTGACTAATGTAGTACACACGTGACTAATGTAGTACACACGTGACTAATGTAGTACATTAAATATATTTGGTAGTACGTAACCTTGCACACAGAGCTCGAGCACAACGGTATTCAATCAGAGACCAGCTTGCACATCATTAACATACTACATAATATATGTAGTACATAACATATCATGATATATTTACATGTCTCATCTAGTACGATGAACAGTGAACAGTTCTCTACAGTACAGCAGATGGAATAATATTACGCTTTTCAATCTGATTATGAAATAATAATGTTATTATTCAATTATGATTTTATTATTCAACCTAGATAAGAAGGATATTGTGGGGAGGGCGGTGAGATATCGTCACGTCTGGAATCTTGGAATGACGGAGGAATGTGTGTTATTATGAAGGAGTATGGGTCTCAGATAAGTATAATGTTATTATTGAACTAGTACTTTACTTCTTCCCCATACAAAAACACAGCACTAGTCCCCAGACATTCCGTTCCTAGACGTTAAAATTAGGTTTTACACAATATGAGGCGAGAGTAGGGAGGACACTTTTAAAGATATGAGGTTAAAGGTAGCTGTAGATATGAGCTATAGCATAGGTTCAAGGGACTGTTAAATATCAGGTCATAAATCAAGAGGCTTGCATATAATGAACATGACTCGAAAACCTTGTCTCCATTTTGTTAGAGCTTTCGCTGACGTTGAGGTGGAAAAAACAAGCCAATATCGAGTTTTGTAGCCACAATTGCCCCGGAATAAAACAGTAAAGGATCACAAGATAGTTAAGTGTCATCAAACAAATGATACGACGTATTCCAAGGTGATCTGCTGAAGACTCAACTAGTTTCGGCCTTTGAGGGCCATCCACAGGAGTGTCACCTAGCAACTATCTTGTCTCCATTTTGATAGACTGTCATTTCTCCATTTTTATGGACTGTAAGTTTATCAGCACACTAAAAGACCTTTGCCTCCATATATATAATATTATATTTATTATATGATTAAGATCAACAGGTATATCAACCAGTCTATCAACCAGTCTATCAACCAGTATATCAACCAGTCTATCAACCAGTATATCAACCAACATATCAACCAGTCTATCAACCAGTCTATCAACCAATATATCAACCAGTCTATCAACCAGTATATCAACCAGTCTATCAACCAGTATATCAACCAACATATCAATCAGTCTATCAACCAGTCTATCAACCAATATATCAACCAGTCTATCAACCAGTCTATCAACCAATATATCAACCAGTATATCAACCAGTCTATCAACCAATATATCAACAGGTATATCAACCAATATATCAACAAGTATATTATATAATATATTACATTATAACTAACCTTCCGTGGCTTCATTCTGCGAGTATATTTGTTTCATCAGTTCCATCTTAGCGCTTGTAATGTTTTCTCGTTTTCCCTCAACCTGGTATTACATTAAACATTAGGCCACTAACAGGCTACTAACAGTAAATAACAATATTATATAGTAATTAAACCATAGTAAATAACAGTATAGTCAACCATAAACTTATACTCTCCAGAAAACTAACTGTCAAAGTAATAAATTATAAAATAGCACAAACTACAATTGTAACAAACAGCTAAGTATAGCTGTGTTTATGCAGGAGTAAAGTGCTCCTTCATAAACACAGCTGCGCAGGACACTGACCTGCTCTAACCCACACCACTCAGGTGGCAAGTCCGGATCATCAGGTTTTAAAGTTATGGTTTGTTCATCTGTCCAAGGGATAAAGGGATTTTTGACGTTATAATCTCCGCTCTGAGGAAAGCAGTCTACAGCATGGAACTATGGTTACTTACAGCTGTTTTTATGGTCACTACCTTACGAGACATATTTATACGTACGAAATGCAGTGGTTTTCCGAAAAAAAAACACACCATATTTTCGGACTAGGTCACCATAATATTTTCTTGAATTATGACTTTGTCGATTTACTATCATTATACGAAACGAAACGAAACGAAACACTGTATTTACTACCCCGCTACTATGCGACAAAGATATTGTATAAAGATAACTAAATAATTTACACAATATGGTGCCCATGTCTGAGCGGTTCTCCTCAAATAACTTTCTCTCCTCCTCGGAGCAGAAAGTTAAAAAGAAAACACGGGTCTCATAAATAAAAAAATACTAAATACTGTTAAAGAGAAAATATCAGATTAACTGTCGCAAAAAATGGTTTAAGTATACATATTACATAATTTATTTTATTGACACACCGATAAAAACCAGAAAAACAAGAAGTGGATACTCGGAAAACAAAAAATAACACAAAAAAGACTAGAAGCCACAAAAAATAGCTTAACCAGGCTAAAGCTGATCATACAAATAGTTCTTTAACTTACCCTTAAAAGAGACAATATTATCGATGTTACGGACATTAAGAGGGAGATAATTCCATGATTCAGGTGCATAGTTGCTGAACCGCCTGCTAGCTGCCTTCAATTTAGAGAACTTAGGTATCTTCATCAGAAGGTTGCATGCTGTTTTTGTTCTGGTTTCTTTGACAGCCTTATCATCTCTGTTCATTTGAACCAACTCTTGATCTTGGAGGTACATTGGTGCCAATCCATGGGTCACTTTGAAACAGATGAGACACACTTTGAAAAATATCCTCTTTTCAACAGGGAGAATATGAGCTTTCTTGTAGAAAGGAGACAAGTCAGTATTTCTGTCATAGATGTCATAAATGAAACGTATCCCTGCATTTAGAACAGATTGCAGCTTCTTCACTCTAGTCTTTGAAAGATTCATGTAAAGGGCATTACAATAGTCCAGCTTTGATATGATCAGTTGTTTGACCAGCATGAGCTTAACTCTCTCGTCTAGATACTTTCTGATAGTTCTTAGATTATTCATTGTCCAGCAACAGTTCTTCTTAACGTTGTTAATCTGCCTTTCCATGTTGAGAGATTCATCTAGTAACACTCCAAGACTCTTCCAGGTATCGTTTTTACATACAGTTGGTGTAATAATGGTGTCACCAAACTTTATTGTTATTTCAAGGTCAAACTTCTTCAGTACCAAAGGCTTTCCAATGACTAACAATTCTGTCTTGCTCTCATTCAGTTTCATGAAATTATTAACCATCCATACTTTGATTTCAGACAGACAGTCATTGATCCTACTAGTGACATTCTGCAGCTCCATGGGTCTCATCGGGTGGAAAGCTATATAACGTTGTGAGTCATCTGCATAAAGCTGTATATCGAGACCATACTTTCTAGCTATTTCCTGGAGCAGCTTAATGTATAAGATGAACAGGATAGGTCCCAATAGAGAGCCCTGGGGTACCCCAAACAACAGACACAGGAAGTCAGATAATGAGTCATCTACCTTAACCTTGAAAAACCTGCCTGAGAGGTATGAACTAAACCATTTCAATGCAGAGTCCTTAATACCAAAATCTTTTGCCAGCTTCTTAAGAAGGATTGTATGATCAATCGTGTCGAAAGCAGCAGAGAGATCAAGTAGGACTACAATCACAATGTTGTTCTTCTGCACTTCCTTAAGAATATCTTCTGCCATCCTGACCATCAGGGTTTCACAACTGTGGTTCGCTCTGTATCCAGACTGAACTGGGCAATGCAGACTGTTTAAATGTAAGTGATTATTCAACTGCTCAAGTACAATCTTTTCAATCAGTTTAGACATAACTGCAAGATTTGAGACTGGTCTGTAATTCTTCAGAATATCTGGATCAGCATTCTTCTTCTTGATAGTGGGCTTGAACAGTGCAGCCTTCATCTCGGCTGGAAACACACCTTGCAACATAGAACCGTTTATTATGTGCAGGAGGATCGGTGCCAACTCCTGAGAGCATTTCTTCAACATGAAAGTTGGAATAGGGTCAAGACTACAAAACTTGTTAGACATCTTAGAAATGGTGTGTAACAGGTGCTGCCTAGTGATGGAGTGAAATTTATCAAATGATGGCCCTGAATAGGTGCTTTCAAGATTCTCTGACGATGACAAGTTCCCTCCGATATGACTTCCTTCTTCTTCTATCCCAAGTCTGTTATCATTCACTTTATCAGCAAAGAAAACTTTAAAACTTTCTGCAAGTTTTTTAGTGTCATTACCATGTGGCCTTTCTTGGGTAGTTTCACCCGTGAGTCTATAAACTTTCTTGTACAGAGCCTTCGTATCTCCCGCAGAGGCTAAGAGGGCTTTTCTATTGTAAGTAATCCTCTTCTGTCGCTCAATGACAGTAAATTTGTTCCTGAGGTTGACAAAAATATCCTTCTGTCCCTTGCCTTTCCTCCAGGCTCTCTCAGCTGCTCTCCGCTGCCTCTGTAAAGCTTTCAGGTCCTGATCCATCCAAGGTTTACCTTTGTCTTCACTCTTCATCTCCTTACTGATCACAGGATACTGCTTGTCCATAAGTTCCAATAGAATACTACTGTACATCTTAACTGACTCATCAAGACTCTCAGAGCACCAAGCATCTCTTTTACAGATATCAGAAACCAAAATATCTGCTTTAAAATCCTCAACCACAATACTTTTAAAATCACGGTAGTTCATCACCCTAGTATCATTCAAAGAGGTCTTCAGGCTCACAGACACTACAAATTTAACAAGAAAATGATCTGATCTAGTCCCAGATTCCACAATGTTGATAGAAGTTATAGAGTCTAAAGACTTTGGTCGTTATCACGAGGTCAAGAGTTCCTCCTTGATTGTGAGTTCTTTCTAGTGGTACACATTGGATGAAACCAAGCTGATCAAGAAGGGAAAGAAACTTTGCGGGGTAAAGATCTTTAGGTCTTTCAACATGTAAATTAAAATCCCCTGCAATCACCGGGATTCCTGGCTTACCGGACAAATCACACAGGTATTCACTGAATTCTTCCAAGAAGTGGCACTCAGTGTACCTGGCCTTTTTGGTGTAAGGCGGTCTATACACATCAATAAGTCTGATTATCCCACTATTTGTTTCCAGTACAACTTCCATGACTTGGTAAGACTTGTACTTCTTGACTCTACCGTTGCTTTTCAACTTAAGGTTCTTATTGGAAATCATACCTATTCCTCCGCCACTACGATGCTTCCTTGGGTTGGATAAAATACCCCAACCAAAATCTCGTATCTCTTGTAGCTTTGCAGTATCTGCTTCCTTAAGAAAAGTCTCCTGAAGAAAACAGATATCAACCCCCTCATCAGTTAGATGCTCAAGAACATCTACTGTCTTGTTCACTAGACGATTAACATTAAACGTGGCTAAAACTAGTTTATCCCAAGCTCTCTTTGTCGAATCTTTGCCCACTGGAGATAAGAGTTTTTTGATGTTTCACATCCGCTCGTTCTGGCCATGATATAACTCTGCTCTCTCACATAAGATGGGCATAATCTGTCAGCTGCAGAATGTGTCTTGCATTTATCTTTGACATTCTTGTCTTTACTGTTGCTACAGTTCGTACACTTGATACTAGATCTTCGGCCCGCCGTTTTCTTCTCACAATCTTTCGATTTGTGGGCACCTGCACAGTAGAAGCACACTGGGTCGGCATTATACTTCTTACACTTACAGTAATCACTGCCACTCATGTGTTCGAAGCTCTGACAGTTAAAGCACTGGATTACATGATACCTATCCTTAACTTTATACTGTCCAAGATCAGCGTGTACAAAGTCACCTGACTCCCTTATAGACTGCCTGATTTTCACTGACACTTGTAGGCATGCCCAGGTCTTGTTTTTCTCCAGGAAAATAACCTTGAAAGTGTTGTTCTCATCTTCAACTAAACTCTTAATGGAACTGTTCTTATCAAGGATGCTCTGGCGCAATTCTTCAGATGACTCAAAATCTCCCTTGAGATCATACATAGTAAGCTTAGGTTCAAGCATTGTCACGGTGTGGGATTTTGCAGACACTTTGTAGTCCACACTAAGAGCATCTTTAGCTTTCTCCATAAGTTCCTTGTTCTTGAATATTAACCTTGCTGTGCCTTCTTTGACACCTGAGACCCCCTTAATAGGGATGCTGGGCAGTATTGATGCGACATGTTTCTTCACCTTTGAGGACCATAGTTCTTCTGTTATCTTATCTGCCTCATTCTGCCCTTCCAGAGTTAAAGTATGAGTCTCACTGGGTCCGAGATTGGTCTTAATCTCAGGTATAATATCTGAACCACCTTTATTGTGCTCAATGAGAATTTGTCTAAATTGTGCTAGCTCCTTTCTCACTATATCTAGTGCCTCGGTAGCTGTCCCTTCCTGTGGTGCAGGTGTGTCTAGTATAGACTTGGTCTTCAGTAGTGACACGGCCCTCTTACTGAAACTGTATAGTTCCTTTATAACTTCAAACATATCCGGCTTGTTATTCCCTGTGGGTAAGTCTAAAGAATCTGCAATTATAGTATCCAACTTCTTCTTACCTTTTAAACTGTCGTTTAACATTTCTAACTCCTTTTCCATCTTTTCATAGACATCAGTGATAACCATTGCTGTAAAGGATTTGAGACCTCTCTACTTTAACTCAAACCAAATAAATATAGTGGTAAGTGCTGAAAAGTACTTGATAAACCCACTAAAAGCTGTTGGTCGTCGTTTAAAACGCAGTAAAAACCTCAAATTATTTGTTATATAGTAGTGTTGAAAGTATTAAAAGTAATAGTAAGCTATCAATATGATTCATCTAACAAATGAACACCTGGCACTACACTGGAGAGAGAAACGTCCCTGAACCAGAAGATTAAGAAGATCAAGAAGATCAAGAGGAAATTGACTTGTAATTTTTCAAATTTCATATTTTATTTTATTCATTTTCTCAAATATTGGGTTTTATTTTTGTAAAATATCAAGAAATGAAAAAATCCCAAAATACCATGATTTAATTTGGGGTACGAAATGAGTTGGTTTTCGGCAAAAAATCCCATATTTTCGGTCCCAAATCATTTCGGTCACCGGAATTTCGTACCTTTTAAATATGTCTCGTAAGAAAACTAGAACTGGTGTTGTTATGGTTACTATAAGGTCTTGGTTACTAACAAGTATTGGTTACTAACAGAAGTGTCTATTGTTACTAACAAGTATTGGTTACTAACTGGTATTGTAGCGATGTCCTGAGATGTTTCCTCCTTGGAACAGCACTTTAAATCAGCTGATAGTAAACCGCTAGTCTCCCTTCTGAACAAAAAATGTCACATTCAATAAAATGTATTTTAAAGGTAAAACTTCAATTTTGTTTCAAAGCTAAGATTTCAAGTTACATTCAAAACAGTTAAGTTTAATAATAATGATTATTGATTATTCAAACAAAACTGACCCCTCAACAGTGATGTTGCAGGTTTGAACGTTGTCCATTTTACTAAACGTCATGTTCTCTGAACAGTAGTTAGAGTAAATAACAGTCTGTATTGGAGTACAGGTCTCGTAAGACACGCTCTGCAGTGTCTCGTTGAGACAGCGTGCCGCTACTGGGCGGGAGGCGGTGGAAGCAGGGGATGCTGTGTGAGACTCCGTGTTGAACTCGTCCCTACTCACTGCAAACAGGTTGAGTATATTAGAGCACTGTAGAGTATACTTCTATATTAGAGCACTGTAGAGTATATTAGAGCACTGTAGGTTCTAACGAAAAATCACAACATTATATTATGATAATAACCTTTTTGAATAACCTGCTCAACCTATTATTTAAAACACTGTATACAGTACGCTAGTACGGTATACAGTACGGTATACAGTACGCTAGTACGGTATACAGTACGGTATACAGTACGCTAGAACGGTATACAGTACGGTATACAGTACGCTAGTACGGTATACAGTACGGTATAGTGAGGCTTGTGTAGCAACACTTGTTAAATAAGGAAGTAAATAACCTATTAATTATGAAATAATCACGAATGAATAACATATTAACTATAAAATAATCACGTATGAAGAGCATATTAAATATGTGACATTTCCCTCACCACAAATCCAGGTAACGATATCGAACTCAGCACATTTTGAATTGTCCTTTATTTTACAGAATTTCAGCGTTTTCGGGTCCCCCTGGTGTAACCTAACCACATCTGAAACATTAAGCAACTTGTAAGCGAACTGAGAAGAAAAATTAGCGGGAACTTAAGGAAGTTCAACCATCCACTACGTCAATATATACCAATATAAAAACATAAAATATATAAAAATATAAGAATCTAAAAATATAAAAATACTTCAACAAGCAAAATTTCATTCTTAAAAACTTCTAGGCGTTATTTGGTGACATAGGATAGCCCCTTAGAGTTTTAGTTTAAGATTAAATTTAAGTTTCAGAAGTTTACCATGTTTCATTTCAGAGAAAGATATCTTGGAGTGCATAACCGTATCGGATGTAGAATGTAAAATACAATATAATGTGATATTATATTTAGTATTAGTAATTATATGTTACATTTTTAAGTCATAGTTTTTTATAGTAAGTAGTAAGTAAATAAATTGTAACATTTATAGCCCGCCCCCGCCCGCCTCCCCCCCCCCCCCCCCCCCCCCTAACACGCTTCGACAATCGAAATTGAAAACATAACCAAAAATATAAATTTGTTAGTGCACTTCTAAATATTCAACACTGAACAATATGTTACTATATGCATTAGGTCACTTTAATATAAATACTAAATAGTAAGTTAATATAAACAGTAAGTTTTAATATAAATAGTAAGTTAATATAAACAGTAAGTTAATATAAACAGTAAGTTAATATAAACAGTAAGTTAATATAAACAGTAAGTTAATATAAACAGTAAGTTAATATAAACAGTAAGTTAATATAAACAGTAATTGTAAGTTAATATAAACAGTACCTCTATCAGGGTACATGTCCTGGCAGAATGTGAGCATCTGACTGTACGTTTGTTTGAGGCCTACACCGCTATCCTGCCACGTGCTCGTCCCCAAGTCATAGTATTTACTGAGACGCTTCGCTTGGAACGCTACTTCCGGCCTCTCCTGGAGTTGGGTCTGAGTTTCGGTTAGGGTCTTAGACTGAGAGATACTACTGAGTTACTACTTAGTGAGTTACTACTGAGTTACTACTTAGTGAGTTACTACTGATTTACTACTTAGTGAGTTACTACTGAGTTACTACTTAGTGAGTTACTACTGAGTTACTACTTAGTGAGTTACTACTGAGTTACTACTTAGTGAGTTACTACTGAGTTACTACTTAGTGAGTTACTACTGAGTTAATACTGAGTTACTACTGAGTTACTACTGAGTTACTACTGAGTTACTACTGAGTTACTAGTACTACTGAGGTTGTGGGTTTTACACTGAGAGTTAATACTGAGTTTGTGTGTTTTACACTATTAGAGTTACTACTGAGGTTGTGGGTTTTACACTATTAGAGTTACTACTGATATCGTTGGGTGATACTGAATAACACACCACAACACAAATTATATTACATGTTTGGAGGGTTTATTCGGAGGGTTCGTTAGTGGACACCTATGACCTAGGTGGCATTACATCACACAGCACCACACAAATCTCGGGACTGTCAACCCCCACACTCTCCGCACAAACACTAAATTGACTGTGATGGTTGGTTATGTCCCTGCTATTCTTGCTGAACACTACCAACAACAACCATACTATACTGGTTGGAATGAGTTGTGGATTGTGTTCAAGGAAGTGAACGTGGGTAGCGATATTTAATTAAAGTTACTGATCATGTTTTATTAATTAATATGTTGCATAGAAACCGACATTGAGTGCACAGCTTTGAAAACAGGGAGCGAAACGATGCTTTGTGATGTGTATTATAACCAACTCACTTTCGTCGCGTCCATATCTAACCAACAAAGTTGCGAACACATAAAATGAAATTAACATGAACTGATAGCACTATTGCACTAATGAAAAAATGATTTGTGAGGCAAAAATGGATATCATTATTTTAGAATGTAGGAAAATTAAGAACTTAAACGTAGAAGTATTTGTGTTAATTTCAAACTGAAAATTCAGAAACACAACAATGAAGCACCAACACCACAGAAATGTTTTCTTACGTTTTTTAAAATGTTGGCATTATACGTCATATTTATCAGATCTACCTCTTACTAATACATTCATATATTTACATATGATAATGTAGGCTAAACCATGTTACATCTTATTTACAATAAATGTTCCCTGATAACTATTACAAACTCAATACTCCACAGGGAGAGCCTTATTTTAAGTATTAGTTGGACAAAGTATCTTGGAAATATTAGAATCAGGTTGCTCTTATGTTAACATAGTTTTTGTAATATTCAAGTTTTGAACATGTTATTGAACCCGAAGTTTCGGATCATCACAATACACACCAGGCTTGTTCTAAAACGCCCCACGTGAATTATAATTTTTTTAAGAACAAAGAATTTAGTTAGTTTTATATTTGAATCATACGATTTGTTATGCATTGCGTTTTGAAAATGTTATAATTCAATTCACATGCAGTACTTACGAATGGTATAGGGAAATCGTCAGAAAAAGTCAGGTAAGTTTCAACAAGACTAAATAGGATTGCAGATATAAGCATATCGTGTTCTACATATCATAGCACGTTTTCAGTAAAGCAGTCAAGGTATACTATCGAACACAATTGACAGATTCGGAAAATGGCATACACAAAATTAACCTCTTCTAAGACACTAGTATAGACATAGCGCAAAGCGAGCCCTCGATTTATGGACGAAATATTTCGTTACAAGATGTTGGTGCGCGGCTTTTGTATGATGCGCGGCGCGCGCTGAACATAAATTTACTGTATTATACTAATTACAACACTACAAATCTATTAAATTTATTGAGGACGTTACAGAAGGAATTGATTTAATGTAGTTGGAGGAGTCCTAACCCTCCTCACGTCCGTAAATGGAGGTTCCTTTGCATCATTAAGTAAAATAGTGTAATTAAATTACACTGCGCTCACCGTGTAGCCTTGTTATGTAATAGTATACTAGTAGTACAAGTTAAGTACTGCAGAGTAAACTTCTTGAGGGCAAATCAAAGCAGTTGGAATCTGTTCAGACAACCGTGAAATCTGCCGTCCAGGAAAGTGTACAAGCTGAGATCAGGTTATACAGTAAAACTGTTGCGAAGGTCCCGCCGGAAACGATACTGACAGAACGGAGCTTGAAAAAAGTAGTTAAAAGTGCTGGATCAAAAAAAAGATCGCAGTAGGAATTTTGTCGTGTTTGGTTTAATGGAGACAGATGATGAAAAACTATTCAATAAAGTAAACGAACTGTTTAAACAAATCGAAGTAAAACCACGCAATGAAGCTGTCATATCAGGATTGGAAGGAGATTAGCCGCGACAAGACCAGAACTGTCAAAATATCGGTCACAAACACCAACAATGTTCACGAGATATTATTGAAATCGAAGAAACTGAAACTGAGTCAGTACCACAAAACAATTTTCATTTCTCCAGATCGGTCAACTGAGGAGCAAACCTTGCTCTAACCAGAGCCCTCTCGCTTGCAGTAGCGCGCGACCGCCGAAGGCTTGTGAAACAAGCGCGTCACGCAGTACGCGTAGGCACATGGCTATGTGAAGAGCAAACCAAACAGAGGAGCAAATCATTTCATTTCATTTCATTTCATTTCATTTCATTTCATTTCATTTCATTTCATTTCATTTCATTTCATTTCATTTCATTTCATTTCATTTCATTTCATTTCATTTCATTTCATTTCATTTCATTTCATTTCATTTCATTTCATTTCATTTCATTTCATTTCATTTCATTTCATTTCATTTCATTTCATTTCATTTCATTTCATTTCATTTCATTTCATTTCATTTCATTTCATTTCATTTCATTTCATTTCATTTCATTTCATTTCATTTCATTTCATTTCATTTCATTTCATTTCATTTCATTTCATTTCATTTCATTTCATTTCATTTCATTTCATTTCATTTCATTTCATTTCATTTCATTTCATTTCATTTCATTTCATTTCATTTCATTTCATTTCATTTCATTTCATTTCATTTCATTTCATTTCATTTCATTTCATTTCATTTCATTTCATTTCATTTCATTTCATTTCATTTCATTTCATTTCATTTCATTTCATTTCATTTCATTTCATTTCATTTCATTTCATTTCATTTCATTTCATTTCATTTCATTTCATTTCATTTCATTTCATTTCATTTCATTTCATTTCATTTCATTTCATTTCATTTCATTTCATTTCATTTCATTTCATTTCATTTCATTTATGGATGGCTTTTACTAACTTACTAACTGGCTCGCCCAAAAATGATTCGGAATCAGCGTCCAAAAATAAACTCATTTAGATCAATTCCATACCCGAAGTGTCTTTTCACAAGAATTTTCTTAAAATTTAGGCGAGCGATTTAATATATATAATATATAATAGGGGCGGTATTATGTATCAAATTGGGCCGGCGGCGCTTTACCTGTGGATCCCAGGCTAATTTATATTTATGTTCATATACTGGTCAGGCCCATTAAGAAAGATGCCAATAAAGTAGATCATTCTCCGATTTTTTAGGTGTTTCTGATTTCTCTACACAAAGTGAGTCATTTTACATTTTGTGACAAATGCTATGTTGCTCAATGCTCATGAGTCTTTTGGACCTTTCTAGTTAACAGTCCAATAGCCCATTTGTGAATATTGTCATTGTTCGCTCGACAAAAATCCGTTCAGCCACATTTCCGAAAATAAGCCTTTTAGGCTTTTAGGGTATATATTGCTTCATAACTATAAGTTGCTTCATATGTTGTATATAAATGTGGCCATTATGTACATTTTAGTGTATCAGAATAGTCTTTACGACCTTCCTAGGCGGAAATGTCAAAAATCACATAAATTATGAAAATTCGAGTGACCGCGAAACCCTTAAAAAGGGTTTGTCCGAAAACGCCCGTATTGCATTTAGTACACAAATATAGTAAAGTCAAAATGTTTTAAGCATCATCTAGAGAGGTGATAACCGTTGAGAAATCGCTTTTAACACAAAAGGCTAACGAGTTTCCCTTTCGTCTCGGACTATAAGTGAAGGTTGCATCTTGTCCAAATTCTTTTGGCAAATGGATGCTAATGCCGACACGTGCAAAAGGCTTAGCTGAACAATTTGACAATATAGATTATTTTCAAAAACAGTTTCAATAACGATTCAAATAATTTAATTGTAAATGCATATTAGGGCCTGCAAGCAGCTTTTGGTTTTGCGAAATACGTGTAGTTCGAAAAAGGGATGCATATTGTATTCTTTCGAACAAATTTCAGGAAATTTGCTTCAATAATTGATTGATTGATTGAGGAGCACTACCCGAAGGCATTACTCGGCACTAACGCCTTAAAATCTTTAATTACAATCAAATATAAATATATGCACACAATGTATAAAGTATTAATAATGTATAAAATATGATTATGCTATTAGCAAATTTAAATAGTACTATTAAGAATTTTAAATAACTCTTATCTCTTGACATAAATTTAGAACAGCGACACAGGGTCTGAAGAATGCGCGGTGATATTTTTATCTTTTAAAAGTTGTAAATGACAGTGAAATTGCGCGGTGTCGATAGCATTGTAAAAAATGCTCGAAGGTAGTCATATTTTGTTATATTCCATATTATAAGGTTAAAGTTTTGTTGCTCGTTATTATGATCAACGTATGTTGTACCAAATTATTTAAATTTCTAAAAGTACGAAATTTGAGTTGTCCCAGTCCTTGTCATCCGGTTTATGTGCTTGTGCAGTAAGCACATGCTTGTTGACTGTAGACTTGAATGAATTTAGGAATTTGTCTTGTAGGCAAGTGGTGACATATTTTATGTCCTTGTTAATAATGTTGACTGTTTGGTTATATAACTTAGGCCCAATGTAAGAAATGCTCTTCACGTTCGGTAAAGCTAATACTTCTAGTTCATTGAAAATTTCCTTTGTGTGTGAAGGTGTGCTATTCAGATCTTTGTCATAAAAATAGCGGTGGTATTGGTTATCTGCAGCGCGAATGCCCTTTTTCTGGGCCGAGAAGACTCTTTTAACGGAGTTTAGCGATCTTGTTCCCCAAACTGTGCAGCAGTAGTACAAGTGAGACTGAACAAAGCTGTTGTATATCAACTTGAGTGCTTTGTTAGGTACTGAGCCTTTGAGTTTGTAGAGAATACCCGCATTTCTAGATACTTTAGTGGCTAAATGTCTAATGTGGTGGGCCCAATTTAGCTTAGTATCAATGATCACGCCAAGAAACTTTTCGTGATAACTTTGCTTTAGTCGCTCACCTCCCATGTAGATTTCTATATCCTTAGTTTTCTTATTTGTAAAGATCATATATTTAGTTTTGCTAGCATTTAATTTTAGCCCGTTATTAGTAGCCCAATCAATTATCAAAGTCAGAATCTCATTCACCAATGCATTAAGTTGTTCAAATGTATCTGTACTTATTATTAGGTTTGCGTCGTCAGCGAAATAAATATGTTTAGCTAAATTACTAATCTGAGGAAGGTCGTTGATGTAGATTATGAACAAAATTGGTCCGAGAATGGAGCCCTGTGGTACTCCGTAGTTAAGTTTGAGGTGAGAGGACTTGCAGTTGTTGACGCTCACGTATTGCTCTCTATCGGTTAGATATGAGTGAAACCAAGATAAAGCCAACCCCCGAACTCCATAGTGCTCAAGTTTTCTCAGAAGAATACTGCTGTCAACCATGTCAAAGGCCTTGCTGTAGTCCAATAGAAGCAGTGCTGTGACCTGCTTTTTTTCTAGTGCCCTGTGAATATGGTTTTGGGCTTCTAGTAAAGCATGTTCGCAGCTGTGCCCGGCCCGAAATCCGTATTGAGAGTCAAATAGGATTTTCTCTGTCTTTAAGTGATCTAATAGTCGCGCTTGCATAATTTTTTCAAAGATTTTTGAGAAACATGAGAGTAGTGAGATAGGTCGATAGTTTGAAACTTCAGCACGTGACCCACCTTTGTGAAGTGGAACTACTTTCGCGATTTTCAATTTATGCGGAAACTTCCCCTGATGTAGAGACGCAGAGACTAGGCAGCTAAGCACTGGTGCAAGTATATTGCTCACTTTTTTCAGGGGAAGTATACTCATATCAGAAGTCGACTTAATCTTCAAACCCTTAACTATTTCGATTATTTCTGATGCGGACGAATCTTCTAGATTCATGCTCCGCTGGCATTTGCTATCTTGAGTTTCTGTTACGATAGTCCTGCCCTCAGAGCATACGAGACCATTTTCTCTCTTAAAGTCTTAAGAGTCTCAGCTATATTGCAGAAATAGTCATTGAAGCTATTCGCAATTTGCTGAGAATCTGTTATCTCGCTCCCATTATAGTTAATTTTGTTTATCTTAATTTTGCCTTTTTTCTTTCTGTTTAACAAGTTATTAACCATTTGCCATTGTTTTCTGCTGTCGCTAGAATATTTTGTAAAGTACGCGTTGTAATATTTGTTTTTGGCCTTATCCACGTGTTTATTCACAAATTTCTTCATTTTCTTGTACCTAATATCATTTTCAGTGGTCGGGTTTGTGACAAAATCTTCATAAAATTTATTTTTGCGATCACATGCGCACCGTAACCATTCTTGGATCCACGGCTTTGTGTTTTTACGGCGGCCTGGTTTACTCTTTTTTGCCTTAATTGGGAAATTTCGGTCGTATAGTTCACTATATTTTTTATCGAAAGCCTCAAATTTTTCATCTACAGAATCATAGTTATTAACCAAGTTCCAGTCTACCGCAGAAATGTCGTTCTCGAACTTTTGGATACTGTCATCGTTTATTACTCGAGAAGACATTTCTGTTGTATCTTCTTGAAGTTTACAACTGAGCCTATTCTGATCAACCATGATTGTGACAAAAGTTGCCAAGTGGTCAGAGATTGACTCAGAAATTACTCCCGATTTTGTAACAGCGTGGCAATTATTGACGAAAATATGGTCAATGATTGTCGCACTGTGATCTGTGACTCTAGTTGGTCTAGATATCACAGGAGCGAACCCATGCTCTGCTAGAGTGTCCACATACTTAGTGACAGAGTCTATTCTCCCGTAATCTAGTAGGTCTATGTTAGTATCACCGGCCAGTATGATATTTTTGTTTCGATGTCTTGCTAAGTTACGGAGGAAAATTGAAATCTAGCAAGATTTTGTTGTGCATTGTGCCAATTTAAGGGTCAAAGAAAAAGTCCTGCAAATTTTGAAAAATATGCTTAGAGTAATTATAGGTCTCACTCTCAGAGAGGGTGCAAGGAGAGAGATTCCGGAACAATTTTTGGAAAATTTGTTTCAAGGAATGAATTCTGGCAATGAGGAATGTAAATTTTGACTACTAGTACAGGGAAATCCGTCTGAAAAAATCGATCTGCTGACACACGAAGCTTACAAAGGATTTTTGACGTTTTTGAGTCCTAGTAGGTGCCCTCTATGGCTGACCAACTTTTCCAAACTTTTCCACGTGGCTTAAGGCCACTTTTTGCCACTTTACCACTTTTTACCACCTTTCTTATTTGTCGAATATCTTTAGTTGTGAACATCGTAAAAGGTTGCGAATCAATCGAGTGTGTTTATATTATCAGGAAGAAAAACTTTTGTTCTAACAATTTTTACGTCAGATAATAATTTAATTGGATAATTATCAATTAACCAATTAGCAAAATTCTAAAAATTTTTTATTGGCTAAAAATGATCGGAATAGCTTAAAACACGGAGAAAAGTAGTTTTTAGAAAAAATTTGAAAATTTTTCACTTACATTTTTTTTTCGAGACTTAGAAAAATTTCGAAAATTCAAAATATTGTTTTCCGCCAAAAGTGACCAAATTGCAAGAAACGCGGAGAAAAATGATTTTCAAAAAAAACTTAGTCAATTTTTCGTTTCAAGAATACTTAAATCACCAATATTTGTAGTTGGAGTTCAGTAAATCTCGGCAGATTTTAGTAATAATCAGGAATTACTAACTCTAAGTGGAAAGGTCTGAAACTGAAAAACGTTAAGTTTAACCATACGATCGCGATATAAGAGTTTCATAACTAATAACAATACAGCCTTATCGATTTTCACAGAAACTGCACCAATGGCACAGTCAAGATCGAAACGATAGCCTGCTGTACTGTCATTTTATTGATTTCAATGATGAATCAGTGGGGTTAAGATAATCACATTTGTAATAAATAAAACCTCTCTGTACCGTCAATTGTGCTGTCTAAACCGGCCTACCTGTATTACCAGACCTCTTCTTTTCCTCAACAATCAAACCGAGTTGTTCATATCGCATTTGGTGGGTGATGTAAACTAAGTAGTAATACATATCGAGCTATTTTCAATCACAATACGACACAATGCAACACGTGTATATTATATTATGGCCCTTAATGAGGTATATGAAACGTTCTATACCGTACACTTCTCGTTTCTCCAGTGAGAGGCCCGATATGGAGAGGTTTTACAGTTTATCACGAAAATGTCTACTTGGTCTCATGGCTCTTTGACAGCTCAAAGAAGGCAAGAAAAGACCAGAAAGCTTAGAATGTCAACTCGCAAGAGCGGGCTACCGGACAACTGAACTCAATTTAGACATTTAGATTAACCCTAACCCTAACCCTAACCCTAACCCTAACCCTAACCCTAACCCTAACCCTAACCCTAACCCTAACCCTAACCCTAACCCTAACCAATTAAGCTGATTGGTTAGTGGGAACTAGGTTCAATTGGGTTCAGTTGTCAGTCTTCGATCTGTCCCACATTAATCCCGAGCTGATCATCATGGGCCCCGAATATCCTGCGGGAAGAACCTGTATTTTTACTTCACGACGTCCGGATTTCAAATCAACATCCTCAATAACATTAACAATCCTTCCTGATCAGGATCTGTCTCTATTATTTTCCAAAATATCCTAACTCTCGTGGAACATTTCACTGAATTAATTATAACTGGTTCTTTACTACCCCTTGCCCGACACTGTACTCGTATCTAAATCTTACCCTTTCCCGTATGTTACCCTTGTTGATTTTACTTTTAGCCGACCCTGACATATGGGGGTGATTTGAGGTATCCCGCAAATGAAGCGGTATGCAGTACAATACAAAACAGTCACAGTAGATGTTGGAAGGTGTATTTACACTTGCTTCCTGGACCTGGCTGTTCCTCAGTTTCCCTGATCTGTTCTTGCCCTTCTTCGAACTGTAAATGAGCCATGAGACCAAGTAGACGTTTTCGTGATAAACTGTAAAACCTCTCTATACCGGGTTTCTCACGGTATAAAGCGTTTCATAAACCTCATTAAGAGCCATATAATATACACGTACTGTGTCGTATTGTGATTGAATATAGCTCGATATGTATTACTACTTAGTTTACATCACCCACCAAATGCGATATGAACAACTCGGTTTGATTGTTGAGGAAAAGAAGAGGTCTGGTAATACAGGTAGGCCGGTTTAGACAGCACAATTGACGGTACAGAGAGGTTTTATTTATTACAAATGTGATTATCTTAACCCCACTGATTCATCATTGAAATCAATAAAATGACAGTACAGCAGGCTATCGTTTCGATCTTGACTGTGCCATTGGTGCAGTTTCTGTGAAAATCGATAAGGCTGTATTGTAATTAGTTATGAAACTCTTATATCGCGATCGTATGGTTAAACTTAACGTTTTTCAGTTTCAGACCTTTCCACTTAGAGTTAGTAATTCCTGATTATTACTAAAATCTGCCGAGATTTACTGAACTCCAACTACAAATATTGGTGATTTAAGTATTCTTGAAACGAAAAATTGACTAAGTTTTTTTGAAAATCATTTTTCTCCGCGTTTCATGCAATTTGGTCACTTTTGGCGGAAAACAATATTTTGAATTTTCGAAATTTTTCCAAGTCTCGAAAAAAAAATGTAAGTTAAAAATTTTCAAATTTTTTCTAAAAACTACCTTTCTCCGTGTTTTAAGCTATTCCGATCATTTTTAGCCAATAAAAAATTTTTAGAATTTTGCTAATTGGTTAATTGATAATTATCCAATTAAATTATTATCTGACGTAAAAATTGTTAGAACAAAAGTTTTTCTTCCTGATAATATAAACACACTCGATTGATTCGCAACCTTTTACGATGTTCACAACTAAAGATATTCGACAAATAAGAAAGGTGGTAAAAAGTGGTAAAGTGGCAAAAAGTGGCCTTAAGCCACGTGGAAAAGTTTGGAAAAGTTGGTCAGCCATAGAGGGCACCTATTAGGACTCAAAAACGTCAAAAATCCTTTGTAAGCTTCGTGTGTCAGCAGATCGATTTTTTTCAGACGGATTTCCCTGTACTATACTAGGGGCGACTATCGTGCAGTTAGACTGCACTTACTCTTAGACATAAGCCAAATGGTCAAATTTGGCCAATAAAGTTTACCCCTTGTTCGCCCCCACATTTTATGAGGGGGAGGGCCGAGGGGGGAGGGGGTGCGGTTTCTTCCTACACCCCTGTATCGCTCTGTCACAGTTTACCTGGGGACCCCAGGCTATTATAATGTTCATAAACATAGAATAGAGATTCAGTGGAATGACAGGCTGAGCGCCGCCCAGTAATGTCACAGTGTAAGTTACTGAGCCTACACATTGCTCGCTTACACATGATGCAGATGTGTGATGTGAAACTGAAGTGAATTGCGGATATTTGAGTTTGTAGTGTGTTATTATTTACAGTGTGTATTGCAATTTTTGTTCATCTTCTTCGCTTCACAGAGGATCTTATATCAAGCTGAAATGGTACGATTTAAACTCAATTTTGCTTTAACTTGCTTTCAATTACTTTCTGTTAACGTAGAATGTAGATAATCACAGACCACTTCTGATTTAATGCATTCCCTGTTTACACAAAATTAACCGTGGAAAAGGCCGCCAAAAGAGGCGTGATATAGCGGAAATTCCTTATTCATTGCAATTAACACGGTTCGAACTGTGCAACACTGAAATTATGCACGGTTTTATTAATTGAGCACGCTTTTCGTTCACTAGAAAAAATAATTTATTGTTGTGAAGTTTTCTGTATTTTAGAGTATTAATAATATAATATTAGTGTACATAAGCGTCAATAGAATAATTAAAAATTATAACATCTCTATCCAATTAATATAAATGTAAGATACTCCTCTCTATTCACTTATCACTATATCAATCATTATCACTATCAGTAGTTTAAGTTTGATAGTTCCCTCTATATTTACCATAAATGTAGTAAATTTATAGTTTTACATTTTCCTCTACATTCATGATATTTGTAGCTTGATATTTTCATTTATGTTATAACATATAAAGCCGCGTTATGATATCAACTTGACTGATACTGTTTCAGGGAAAAGAAAAGAATATAATCTGCACGACAGAGCAGCTGGAAGAATTCTTGCAGCAGAGAAACGACATAATTCTAGACGAGGTTATTATTATTAAACTGTGCCATTAATCATTATCATTAATAATAATAACTTGATAACATTTGATATTATCAGGCGGTTATTATCGAGCGTGCTAAAATTAAATTGCTCTAACATGCATTCGATCTTCGAGATTTTTCTAAAAGGGCCCCTGACAGTCGAAATCAACCTGATTCGATGTATTTTCGCACGCCGATTCCAAACACCCCACGTGACATAGGGTTAAAATACTCCTCTAACGAGATATCGGCTAAACACTGTCTCGATCATGTGATATGACCATATAAGGAAGTTGGTCTAATTTCTCATTATGGTCAGGGTTTCAGTGCAGCAAGTACTTCATGCAGTTAGGCCAGATTAAATTGGGTCTGGGTTTATAGGGTTAAGGGTTGGGATCAGATTAGTTTAAGAGGGTTAGGGTTTCAAATAGTCATTCAGAGCCACCTAGAGGACGTGATTCAAAAGTCACGTGACAGTCGAGTGATTGATCATCATTCATCATATCCGGTTATTATAAAAATTAATGTTTTTAAAAAATCCTAAACGAGTAATCATTATAATTTTTTCTATTTTTATATCTGACCAAAACCCATAATCATGGGTAGAGTGTACCGCTGCCAGTGTCTCTCTTTTCAAAACAAAAGGAAATGATATTAATTTGAGGAACCGTCCGCTAATGCAAATTGATACCGAGAATGAAATCGGTCGCTCGCTTTTCCCATTCATTCACGGCTTACGAATTGTAATAAAGCTTATTAAATGGGAAAAGCGAGCGACCGATTTCATTCTCGGTATCAATTTGCATTAGCGGACGGTTCCTCAAATTAATATCATTTCCTTTTGTTTGGAAAAGAGAGACACTGGCAGCGGTACACTCTACCCATGATTATGGGTTTTGGTCAGATATCATCTCTTTTTGATTATAATGTCAGGATAATTTACACAATCGAAACTTCATTAACAAGGAGGTAATTCCGACGATTTCGAAATTCTGCCTTTGAAAACGTTTCCTTGTGTTTAGTTAGGTATATCTGTCGATAACCGACTGAATATGGCACTTTTTACTCATTCAAGTTGGCATTAAATTCATATATAATGCCATTTAAATATCGTGGAAAGCAGAATATATTCGAAATCACGAATGAGCAAAATTCTCACCTTTCGCACGTGCAAACTTTGAGCGGACGTTGCGTGCGCATAGAATATTGAATCACCGTAAATTTTTGCATAGTGGTATTTAATATACAGTTTGATAAGCATGCAAAGTTTCAGAAGATTTCAAAAAGAACTTGGATCACAACGGGACTCCAAAGTTGATAAAAATCGTGAAAATAACAATTTTTAGTGATTTTAGCTATTTTAAATAAATTTGGGCGTGTCCCCACGTGTGCAACTTTTCGATTTTTAACTTTAAAACTAGCCTATAACACAATTTACACCTTTAAGAAGCAAAATTGAGCTCCACAACCCAAGGGATGACCCAACACCAGAGAATACTAATTCACAACTTTTGTGTTTTTATAAAATTATTCTTCAAAAAAGCACTAACTTCAATAGCAAATATCTTTATGAAGGAGCAAGGTAGGAAACTATTCCGGTAGATTTTCGGAATGCTTGAACAATTATCTAAGATAAAAATGTCCTCAGATTTTGAATAAAATTACTCCTTGATAGCGTAAAATCGATTTGAAAAGTTGTTACTTTGTCAAAAATCAAGTTTTTAAAACACTTAATTTGATGACGTCATCAAGTGATGATGATGACGTTAAATTATTTTTCAATACAATGTAAACTAAAGCTTAAACGATTATCTTTAAAACCTGTGGTTCGAGATGACTGTATCGTTTATACTTTCGAATCTACGGACACTTAAATGTAGGCTACAATTGACTGCAAAAAGCGTCTATATTATATATCTTCACGACAATCTGTTGTAAAACAGGGGTTCCAGAAAACCCACTTCACGATACTCCTGAAACATGAAATTTTTTTACAGTCGATTTGGACAAGGTCTAGACGCCCTGCAAAGTTTCAGATCTCTAACTCAATTTTAACATGGTTTTTAAGGCACCTGAATATGGCGATTTTGGGTTTTTTACCTAATTTCGTATAACATGCTGGCGCGTATTTTGCGCAAATTTCTTAAAAACCTCCATATAACTATTTCTTATTCCTGTCATCTTTAACATTGAATTAGAATGTTTTGAACTTAAATGTACCTGCTGATCTACTTTCGATGAGTCTTAATGCCTGGAAATCAATAAAGGGGATATAATAGTATAGGGGGTAAATAGTATTGTGAATATAAGGGCGACGGTAATGCTTGCCAGCATTGTGATATTTAATTTCAAGCACCACGAAAATGTTTCAGCTAAAGAGTATTCTTCAACAAAACTCAAAAAATACAGATGGAAAGATATCTACGTTAAAATCTGAGGTTGAGAACGCGCTCAAGGTACCAATTATACTTTTGATTCTATTTTTGACCCAATTTACTAATACTAAGCTAATACACGGAAGTTGTAGATGTACATGAACCTAGTAGGGTAACCACGGTCACCACTCTTCTTAACGTCAGATAAGAGAGAAGGAGTTGAGAAGATTAAGAAGAGAGACGGAGGAAAGTTTCCGCACGTGTGAGAGACTACTTCACGCGCTTACTTTCCAGAGGAAAATGTTGGAGGCGGTCCTCAAGATTAGGGACAGGGAGATTCAGGTAAATGTCACATGGTAACGTTGCCATGGTAACATTCCCACTTTCACGCCATCAATTAAATAAGCTATTTTGAAAAAGTAGAGTTTACAAAACCCACGTTTGCTTGTTAGTCTACACTGACAGCACAGAATTCAAGCGAATTCAAGCTATACTTACAGTGAATTTTCAATTCGATGTAACCATGATTATGATTCCTTAGAACCTACGAAGGTGTGTGGGTATACAGAAAAGGTTGATAGTGAAAACATTGAACGTTGTGGTGGCTGATGGCGTCCTAGAAATGACACCTAAACAAAGAAGCGAACTTTTGAAACTAGTTCAAGAAATGGGAGACATAGATATTAATTCAAGTGAGGTTAGAATACGTAAACATTAACTCAAGTGAGGTTAGAATACATAAACATTAACTCAAGCGAGGTTAGAATACATAAACATTAACTCAAGCGAGGTTAGAATCTGAATACATAAATATTAACTCAAGTGAGGTTAGGATACATAAGAATTAACTCAAGTGAGGTTAGAATACATAAACATTAACTCAAGCGAGGTTAGAAAACATAAACATTAACTCAAGTGAGGTTAGAATCTGAATACATAAACATTAACTCAAGTGAGGTTAGAATACACAAACATTAACTCAAGTGAGGTCTAAGGGACATTTCGATATAAACTATAATGTATAAGAGTAAAGGGACACATTGATATGAACTGCAAATAAGTAACCTGTTTGCTGCAGGGCGTTGGTTTCTCTGAGGAGACAGTGCTGCAAGAATACAGAGAAGCGCTGGTGATATCCGACAAGGAAGTTAACACCAACAACATCGACAATATCATCCAAGTCAGAAGGGCTGAAAAAGCAGCTAAAGGGTCTGCACTATAATAGTAGTGTTATTCTTATCAGTTATTACAACCGCTCATACTTACATTATCCTTATCAGACATGAGTACAGATAAACTTGCTCTAACACGAAAACACAAACACACTATGGTCTTGTAGCATGTTGTAACAGTAACACTGTTTATAGGGAAGGAGGTAGTTCTGCAAGCTTTATTCAAAACGTATTCACTCCGAGAACAACTATCCAAGACAAAGATGATACTGAGTCAGACGAAGAATATGTCCCACTAGGTAGGTATTGTTACTATGGTAACCAGGAGAATGTCCTGCTAGGTAGGTATTGTTACTATGGTAACCAGGAGTATGTCCTGCTAGGTAGGTATTGTTACTATGGTAACCAGGAGTATGTCCTGCTAGGTAGGTATTGTTACTATGGTAACCAGGAGAATGTCCCACTAGGTAGGTATTGTTACTATGGTAACCAGGAGAATGTCCTGCTAGGTAGGTATTGTTACTATGGTAACCAGGAGTATGTCCTGCTAGGTAGGTATTGTTACTATGGTAACCAGGAGTATGTCCTACTAGGTAGGTATTGTTACTATGGTAACCAGGAGAATGTCCTGCTAGGTAGGTATTGTTACTATGGTAACCAGGAGAATGTCCTGCTAGGTAGGTATTGTTACTATGGTAACCAGGAGTATGTCCTGCTAGGTAGGTATTGTTACTATGGTAACCAGGAGAATGTCCTGCGAGGTAGGTATTGTTACTATGGTAACCAGGAGAATGTCCTGCTAGGTAGGTATTGTTACTATGGTAACCAGGAGTATGTCCTGCTAGGTAGGTATTGTTACTATGGTAACCAGGAGAATGTCCTACTAGGTAGGTATTGTTACTATGGTAACCAGGAGAATGTCCTGCTAGGTAGGTATTGTTACTATGGTAACCAGGAGTATGTCCTGGTAGGTAGGTATTGTTACTATGGTAACCAGGAGTATGTCCTGCTAGGTATGTATTGTTACTATGGTAACCAGGAGTATGTCCTGCTAGGTAGGTATTGTTACTATGGTAACCAGGAGTATGTCCTGGTAGGTAGGTATTGTTACTATGGTAACCAGGAGTATGTCCTGCTAGGTATGTATTGTTACTATGGTAACCAGGAGTATGTCCTGCTAGGTAGGTATTGTAACTTTGGCTCTATGGTAACCAGGAGTATGTCCTGCTAGGTTGGTATTGTTACTATGGTAACCAGGCCGAGTATGCCCCGCTAGGTAACTAGGAGTATATCCTGCTAGGTTCATATTGTAACTATCTTAACCAATTTGTCCAGATATCAAGAGTCAACAGATTCCGGTCACTAAAGCAGAACCAGTTCAGGCTAAAGATATAAGTTCTGTGAGTTACAAATAGCAAAAAATAGTTAATAACCTATGAAGCTATGATGCGCGCTAGTTTATAGTAACTATTACTATTAGTCGGATCAGTATTTACTTTGATCGGTTTCTTTCAAAGAGTTCAATCATGATCTAACTGAGATTTGAACTGCAGATATCCTCTGTAACAATTAAATATTGAATGTCATAACACAGGTGTTTGAGAATCTGGAAGATAGTAGACGGAACGAGAAGGTCCCTAAAACTGTACTGTTTGAATGTGGTAAACAGCTGGGGTCTGCCTGGGTTAGTTTCGCTATCTCGCAGAGGATTGGGTTCACGTTGGACGATGTAGCGGTGCTAAGGTAATTATTATGGTGACGTCTGAACATGAAAACCAAAAGAATGAATTAACTCTTAACTATGGTGTGTAGTATTAGTAACATATTATTTTAGGAACAGTAAGTGTCACAAGATTATAGTGGTAGCCGTTATTGTAAAAAGAGTATAAACTTTGAAAACATTTAAAAATCTGATGACAATAAACAGGAAACGATATAATTCGGACGAAGAGAGAGCAAAAGCGATGCTCCTTATTTGGCTGGAGCAGAGCGGGGAGGGAACATACGGTAAGTTCTTGACGTCATATTATGAGGATGATTGTGATGTCGCGTAAGAGCGTGTCACGTTAGAAACGTGTGAGTGATGTCGCGTGAGAATGTGTGATGTTGCGTGAGAAGCTTAATTTGGTGACCAATCAGCTTAAATGTGTGATCTCGCGTGAGAATGTGTTATGTTGCGTGAGGGAGATTGTGCCGCTAAGTAAGCTTGACAAGGTAACATTTTTAACCATTTACAGGCAATTTGGTGTTGGCATTAAACGACATTGGTAGAAAAGACATCTCTCAAAAGGTGATACGAATGGAAAAGTGAAACTTGAGCTGCTTAATGTTACCGTAAAAACTGGGATTTTTACAGTTTATAAGTTTATATGACACGAAAGCTAACTGTACGTGTAATGTGTAATATCTGGCTAACCATGTACTGTAAGACATGTTTTGATAACTTTTTGTTAGGTAGTATTAGTTTAATAAAGATTGGAAAGCTACCTAATGTGGTATATTGAACAATATTAACATATAAATTTTATTATGTAAATGAAATTTAAAAACAATTATCATAAAAATTCTCATAACAATTCTCAAATATTTGAAATAATGTGTACTTTACAAATATAAAACCTTAGAAATACAATTCAAACTTTTTTGTCTATCTTTTCTATTTTATCATAAAAAGTTTTTTAATCTTTAGTAAGTATAATTGTTTTTGACAGTCTTGAGAAGAAAATCTAAAATAAATGCGTTTTTTGTCCTATAAACTTATAAAAGTATAAATACAACGCTGTTTAAAAGTCACAGTCACTGGAAAAATCTATTTGGACTATATTTCCGCGGAAATTCAATTTAGTTTGAAGTTTTTATAAAACTTAAGCCTGAGTAGCGCGAATAAAAGCAGAATCTCGACCATAACATCACGTGACCTCGTTACCATATCAACACTAATGAAACAAGAAATAGAGATATCTGGGCAGGAACTCCTGAAACAAAAATAAATTATTTACGATAAAAGAAAGAAATGAAATACTATTTGTTAGCCAAAATGGACGTAGCCTTTCAAAAAATGACCACATACCTATAGCAGAATTCTTGTTAGATACTTTTCCCATTTCAGACAGTTCCTCTTCAGAGAGGCAGGTGGGGAGGTTGACCCAGCCGGTCACATCACACTGTGCTTCTCCTTTTCCCTGGGTCATGAAATGTAACCATACTTATAAATAGTTTACAACTTTGCTTAGAAAACAGAGTGCATGTTTTAGTTTAAAAATATCTTGCGTTATTCTTTCATTCGTTAGAAAGGTTTTGCAGGAATATCTCATCATTAATCCTCTGGGTAAAAGTGAAATTGCCAATCATACACTCTGTTGCATGCGTTACTGGGCGGCACTCAGCCTGTCACTCCGCCACATATTCATAGTTCATGAGCACTAAAGCCTGAGATCTCCAAGTAAATACATTCACTGCTATGTATATAGGGTTGTTCACATATTACGTAATCACTTTTGGAAAATTGTTACCCCCCTCCGTAATCGTATTTACACACAGCTATGGTTTAAACTAGCGTAATTATTTGGAAACCCCCTCCCCCTCGGCTAATAACGTAATATTATGTGAACGACCCCTGTGGTAGATTTAAATTTAAATTGAAATTACCTGGAGAATGTATTTGTCTTTGCAGCGTATTTCCACTGCCTCCCCAGTCTGATAAGGGGCTTGGTCACGTGACAGGAGCTGGGGACCGTTCACAACTTCTCCATTTTTAACACTTGGAACTACACATCCCACTGGAAGGAATAAAATATAGGGATATTATTATCATGTGAATTTGAATTTGTACGGTTTTCCAGCCAAACAAAATGGTCGCATTTAAATCTTAACCCCAGTGTGCGAATGTTTGTGAGTTTATGTTACTAAACAGGTAACTAACTGTGACAGATGGGAGGTAGGGAGTATTTCATCTCACTGTTGTTGATATCACATGCTACTTCGTTGTCCTCAGGATCACCTTAAATCAAATAAAATTTACTGGTATGTTCCCAATTTTCTGGTATGTTCCCAATCAATTTATGTTCAAGTGAACGAACAAATAATCTATTTGACGTTCTAATTGAGCCTGGAACTCTGGGAACAAGGATGTAATTACTACGATAACATAAGTGTATGGTTTATTACATCATGGGTGTTGACTGTTGCTACGGTAACGCACCTAAAGTGTAACCAGGGTTACAGGTGATGGTGTAAGTAGTAGACGTTTTGCTGGAGGTATCGGGAGTTGAGAAACCGTTATCTATGACAGGAGGGGAGCAGACTACCGCACCTGTAACAGCAGCTTAGAGAGGGTTATTTACCTGCTATTATTGAGATAAGAGTGTAGTAGTACGTCTTGCAGGTCACTATCTCACTATGGTTACTATGATATGGTTACTATGATATGGTTACTATGGTTACAATGGTTACAATTATGGTTACAATGGTTACAATGGTTACAATGGTTACTATGGTTACTATGGTTACTATGGTTACTATGGTTACTATGGTTACTATGGTTACTATGGTTACTATAGTTACTATGGTTACTATGGTTACTATGGTTACTATGGTTACTATGGTTACTATGGTTACTATGGTTACTATGGTTACTATGGTTACTATGGTTACTATGGTTACTATGGTTACTATGGTTGCTATGGTAACGGGTTGCATTACCGGAACAGCTGGGAAGCTCTGAAGTTACAGCCCCGTCGTTACAGGAGACGTATCTTGTTCCTAACAAGTTCATGTTTCCAGCACATTCCACATACGCAGTCATTTCCCCTGTCTTTATTGTGTGGGTGTTCGATACTAACACTTCTCCTGATCTGGGTAATCAAGTTCAAACACAAGGAAATGTTACAGATAGAATAAAATACAAGTTTAAGTTACTACTAGTTATATCTACTAATTACTATCTGATAAAAGCTTCCTGTGGATCATATGGGAACTAGAAAAGAGCTAGCTACGGACTAAATGTTAACTAAATACGAATTATAGTTATAAACTGATAAGAGCAAAGAGGTTACTTGGAAAACACAGTGCCGTCAGGGATTTGAGGAACCTGGCAGTTTTTATTGCACTTCAAACAGGTTTCCTCAGTTTTACAAGTTTGTAGGTAGTAACCAGAGTTAGCAGCGGTTACTCCTGCAAGAAATAAAGTATAAAATCATTATGATACATTCAATGAAACATGTGATATAATTGGCAGAGAACAGTACACTGGTAGTGGTAACAGAAACGGTCCATTGCTACCAAAATTAGTTGAAATCTCTAAATTTTCATCAATGTCCCTAAACAAATATCAAGTTGTGCAAGAAATAAATCAACAATAGCATACAACGTATTTTAGTAATAGAAATAAAATAGATATTACGATATTAGGAGAACTCTACATTATGTACAAGGTTTAAAATGATAATTTGATTATTGTATACTATAATATTGGTTACCTTTGGTTGTGCAAACGAGTTCAATGGTTTGGTTAAGAGGACTGTAGCCGTTATTGCACTGAGCTTTAGCGTGTACAACCCTCCCATCCCCTATCTGGTAAGTAAAACGTTAACAGGGGTTGTCTTGAAGTATCGCAACCGCTTTACTTTATTGGTATTACAATGAATTACACTCATCTTATCGGGCTTTATTTGAGCGGACATCAATTGGACGCTGGAGGCCCTTGCGTTCATTTTAATTTCCGTTCAAATAAAGTCCAACCAGGTAGTAAATTAAATACATTAAATAAATGCATTCGAGCGTTCAATTTAATGTCCGATCAAAATGATGTCCGGTCAAATAACGTCCGATAAGGTGACACTGTACTAAAAGTTAACAAAAACACTTTTCCTTTCCAATACACACACTAACCTTTCTGACATTAGAAGGATACACTATAGTGATCCTATCTAAATTGTCAATCTGTTCGCTCAGTTTGTTATTATCTCTCACCTCACATGCTGAAAGAGAATCAGATCAGATATAATTCATATCATCTATTAAACACTGAAATCAATCATCATTAGGGAACATGTGATAAGCTCGCTAAGCTACCGGTAAGCACGTGATAACTGATAAGCTATCTAACTCTGTAAACTACCTGGTAAGCACTGTTCGGAAGATACTATCGTAGCTCTTTTGTTCACGTACTCGCATTTCCCTGTCACCTGTGATTTATTTTAGTTGGTATAGAGACATGTATCGGAAACAAGATATCACCTTTGTTGCTCGGAGAGGTGGAGCAATAACGAATAGGTAAAAAAGGCGCAGAGGCTCTGAACACAAGTAAATCTTATAACTTGAATCCCGAATACACGACAATCTCACAACCACTGTTCATAACCACTATTATCTGCAGACTAACCAGCGAATGGTCCACTCCGTTTGTGAACATGTAGCCGTTCTTACACTTCACATGGTACTCCACACCAGCAGATAGTTCATTAAACTGAGGAGATTTGTTTTAGAGTGTGTTTCTATGGTAAAAGGTGTGTTGCTGTGGTAACAGAGGTGTTGCTATGGTAAAAAGTGTGTTGCTATGGTAACCTACTCTGTGAAGAGGGTCCTGGACAAATTCCATATTGTTTGCCGCACTCCCAGTCGGAGGTCTGCAGGGTGGGTCCTCTGGTTTGACACATTTTGAGGTGTAAAAACGAGGAAATATCTGCCCATCTTTACAGTGGTATTCTAGATAACCCGTCTGTTTGAGAGCTAGGGGAGAAAAGGATCAGAGATTAGGTGAGCGACCAACAAATGTATCATTGCTTTGAAGAGCTAGAAGGAAGAATGGTTTCATTTATGAAATTATAGATTTTGCGGAATATCCTAGCCCTAGCCCCCTCATTTTCCGAGACATATAATCTTACTTTCTCTGCAGCTGAGTGAGACGGTCTGACTGCTAGGCTTCAGAAGAGGACAACTTACCTCAACTCCTGAGGAAGAAGCAAGGATTAGTTCAAGGGGTGGGGGATTAGTACCTTGGTTAATGGTTATATTGGTACATGGTGTCCCAAAAAAGACTACCCAATAAGAAACTATCCTAATTTTCTCAGTTTTAACTCTTTGGTTCTGATCTCTTGGTATTATTTTCTAAAGGATTAGGAGATTCGTTTAGGACCATTGGGAGGCTCATATAATCTTGATGGGCAACATATTTTCGATCTTAAAGATATGCGAAAAAATTTTGGTGTGATCCCAGTCCCCAGAATAGGTGATAGTTTTCGTCCATGATGGAATCCTAGTTTTGAAACGTTTAAACAGCCCCAAGTTGTAAACCAGGTATATACAGACACAATAAAAAGTCTTTTTCGCATTGAGAACTGAAATCGAGGTTTTTGATATGGTGCAGGGTCTTTTTTGGAGCATTTTTGGGCCACACCCCTTTTTTCCTTTAATGGCGTAATTTCGCCCTATTTTCATATTATTTTAAATTTTTTGCTACCTTACTCTGTCAGTACACTTACCAAGGAACATGTAGGACCATTAAAGCTAGATAATCAACGACTTTCGCATAAAAAA